GACATTTCACTTGCTTTTATTTGCAGTTTTATAACAGAATGAAAATTCCTTCTGTACTTGTTGCCTAGTCCAGTGTTTCCCAACCTTGTCAACTTGAAGATGTCCGGACTTCAACTCCCAGAATTCCCCAGCCAGCGTTCGCTGGCTGGGGAATTCTGGGAGTTGAAGACCACAGGACTTAAAGTCCCCAAGGTTGAGAAACACTGCTATAAGTCAAAGATTGCTGTTGCTGTTGCTAACCCAGCTTGATTCCTTACCTCTTTCGTCTCATGGACGCAGAAAATACCTTCAGTAATATTTTGCTTAAATTGGAGGGTAGAAACCGGGTTACTTAAATTTCCAGTTTAAGCAAGTTTCTTTCTTAGCAAAAAGTTCCATATTAGTTGAACTAGAATTTAGATGTTTCACATCCATGACATGTACAGAATATAATTTGAATGTGTAAGTAGCTCTTAATCTGAATTCCTTTAAACAAGCACACATGTTTTATCAAATAGATACCTTTATTTTTTTAGAGTTGCACAAGTCAGCCCTTTGATACTAAAAAAGATCTTTTAAAAAGTATTTTAAGTGCAGCCTAAAAGTTTGCAGTTTCAGACTGTTACATTAATTCAAAAATTCTGAGCTTCCCAAATGTCTTTAATAGCATGCCCTCCACTGCCAATAAACCATTGGTTTCTCTTTTTAGAAATATAGGAGTGAAGCAAACAGCTTTGGCTCCTAACCATCCTTACTGAAGGCAGATGAAAGTTATTCAGAGGAATTGTTGGTTTGCTCCAAATGATGAATTAACTACCTTACTGTAATTCATTTACATTACATGAATGTAAATGAATTATAGTAAGTTTTCCCCCATGTTCCAACTTAGTGCAATCAGCATAACTGCAAAGATATATCAATATAATAATCAGAAGCTGAGCTCAAATCTAGGAGATGTTTACCTCAAGAACATTTCTTTAAACTTTTATGTGAAATAAAAACTCTAGACTAGATGTTCTGCTGGAAAGATACAAGGAAAGAAATCATCTCCTTGGAAGACTTTCTCTTGCCATTTCCCATACAATGGTTTGCTAAAAGGTTTGTTTACTAAAAAAAAAGTAACCTCATGAAGGTTCAGGGGAAATGCCAGGATGCCCTTGGAAGCTGGTGTTCAGTTTCCTAAATTGGTTTCATACCTTTCCTATAGTCCAGTGTCCCATAAAATAGAAAATACTTGGTTTCCAAAGTGCTTCGCATCTCTTTTGAACTGCCAATGATTTTCCTGTATTTATGAATCCATACTTTCCAAAGTTGAAGCAGTTCTCATTATCTCTGGAAAGCTGAGTTAAGCGCATGAAATTCAGAACGTAGTTTGTCCCCTATCTTTAAAAGTTGGAGAATTTCATTTCATTTCATTTCATTTATTATATATTTATATGCCGCCCTTTTCCCCCGAAGGGGACTCAGGGCGGCTAACAAATCAAATCAGGGAAGGGGAGGGGGTACA